TGCTTATGTGGTGCTGAGGAATCGAACCCAGGGCCTCAGGCATGCAAGGCAAGCGCTTTACCACTGAGCCAACTTCCCAGCCCCCCAATAGGTTTTTTCAGTGATTTTATTCCCCATTTTTCAATCTTACAGCAACTTTTTTCCATGCCGAAGTCAAACCAAAGGATTTAATTGTGCTAAATGAATGGAAATAATGTATTTAGAATATCCTTTTTTGTACATTCCTTATACAGGGCAAAATAAGCAGTCATTAATATGCAGGTACTACTTTACACTTTCTTTCCTGCCAAGCAATACAGTATTTTTGTGGCTATTAGGCCAAGATATAGTTGTCATTTCAAATAGTGTTTTCTAATTTGTTCAAATTCTATCTCAGGAGTCACCTAATAACAATGGAAAGAGAAATCCCATTTGTTATATGAAAAGTCACACAAACCTCTCCATATGGAATCAAAGAGCAAATTCTAAAATCAGCCATTGAACATTGATTGACTCCGTTTAGGTGAATTAATGTTAGAGATAAAGGAAAGAATCACATCCTAATTGGCAGTAATTATCCATCTCATTTGTGACATTAGGCTGTTTTTAGGAGACATGGTTCTTGGCTTACATTGAAAATAATCTGTAAGAAGTATATCTGGGGCTGGGAAGGTGGCTCAGTGGTAGAGCACTTGCCTTGCATGCCTGAGGCCCTTGGTTCAATTCCTCAGCACCACATAAGCAAAATGAAAAAAGCTGGAAGTGGCACTGTGGCTCAAGTGGTAGAGCGCTAGCCTTGAGCTGAAGAGCTAAGGGACAGTGCCCCAGAGTTCAGGCCCCACGACCGGACCCAAAAAAAAAAAAAAGAAAGAAAATTTTTCAAAGGTCTCAAACTGTTGTGCTTGAATTTTTGGTATGTTTGGTAAAGACCAATAGCACAGTAATTTTCTGCAAGTTCATAGGAAAAATAGATATAAATTATATTTTATGTAGCAATTGTTATCATAGAATACAATTTTGAAACTATTGTCCAAGTCAGCATAAAAAAGGAATCCCAGACTTTGTAAATATCGAATGTGTGTATACGCATATGTGCACACAATGTGTCTATCTCTATTTTTTTATGTTCCAGAAAATATGGTGACAACACAGGGTACATGTGCAACTTTAAACTCTCATGAAGAAAAGAGGGTACAGCCTCCTAAAGACAGAAAATTCGGGTATAGTATGTTCTCCATTTCATTGTAGCTTTGCATTTTAAGATGTAATTGAACACCTAATTTAAACCCTCAAGGGCTCATGGAATTTTTCTTGACTGGTATGTTTTAAGTGAGAATTGTGTCTATGAATGTGACCATAGTGATGAGCCTGAGCACTGGCTATATCATGACAGTGATCAAAGCAGCTGGGGTAACAGAATTCTTGTGAGAACATTTAACAAAACTGACTTCCATTCAATTTCAAGATTAAAACTGCAAATCCTCTTACCAGACAAAGACCATTGCAGAGCTGTGCCAACACATAATCACCCCTTTATACCCATTATCATTTAAAAAAAACTAGTAACTTTCTTTTAAGAGAAGGAGATAGAGTGCTTAAGCCTCCTTCAGTGTTGGTGCAAGGTACAATACTTTGCAGGAGTAAACTTCTTCCATATTTGATAGACCATTCCATGTAATCAATAGTAAAAGTAGCTGCTTTCTTAAGTACTTATATTCTAGGCAAGGTGCTTATGCTTTTCATGTACTGTGCCCTGTAGTTCATCCTTACAATAACAGAGTTGTGGGAATTATTCTCCTCTGTTATAGATGAGCAAATCACTTCCAAGAGGAATAAATTATTGACCTAAAGTCATAGGCCTTATGGTTTATGGAACTGGAATTTGAACCCATATTTTTTTTTCTTCAGAAACCTTGTTTTTTCCATCATGCTAAGCTATGTTACCAAAAGAAACAAACAAAAAACCACTGATATGATTTTCAACTGACCGGCAAGATCAGTTTTGCATTAATTTTATTATCAGTATGTTGGCCATTTTCTACGTGTTTTCTCTTCATTTTCTGGTGAGAGGCTTGTGCCAACAAGAGATTGCATAGCATGGTGTTGTTCTGTACTGTTACCTGGAGTTTTCCTAAGTCCAGGCAAGTTTTTGATTCACAAGACTACTTTAAGCCATAGTTAAACTAAAAGAAGCCAGGTGACAGTGTCTTATGCCTATAATCCTAGCTACTCAAGAGGCTAAGATATGAGGGTCACAGTTGGAAGCCAGCCCAGGCAAGAAAGTCTTTGAGACTCTTATCTCCATTAAACCACCAGAAAACCAGAAGTGGAGCTATGGATCAAGTGGTAGAGCATTAGCCTTGAGCAAAGAAGCTCAGGATTGCCCAAGCTCTAAGTTCAAGCCCCAGGATGGCACCAGAGGTGGGTGGGGAGGAAAATTTAACTTAAAAGAAATAGAACAAAAATCCAGTGAGATGCACACTGCCAATGGTCTATTTTCTTTGATGCTTCCCTACCCTCTATAACAGTTAAACTGTAAGGAAACAAGACTTATGCCTCTTGCCTTGTTTCCCACTGGTTATTTTTAGGACAAGGTCTTGTTTCCCACTCAGGCACGCAGACTGCTGAGCCTCAGTCTACATACTTTAGTCTTTTCATAGTTGCTGGGATTATAGGCATATGCCACTGCATCCATTTTCCTCCATGGAAATGGAGTCTCGTGGAGTTTTCTTGTCTGAACTGTCCTGGTCCTACCATTCTCCCAACCTCAAACTCCCACATAACTTAGGATGAAGATGTGTATCACTACACCCAGCTGTGAGTTGAGGTAGAATCTTGCAAACTTTTCTGTCCAGGCTGGCCTTAAATCACAATTCTCCCATTCTCAACCTCCTAAGTTACTAGGATTGTAGGCATGAGCTACCAATGCCTGGCTGTGAGGGTTATTTTTTACCATAAGCAATAGGTGACACAGTGATATTCTATCTTTTTAGATATTCAGAAGAAAAGAGCTTAAAATTCATTCTTATGGAGAGAGTTTATTATTTGTGCACCAACAATAATTTGGATACTCATATCATTAGAAAGCAATGTGTAAGGGTTTGGAAGCCCTTTTTTATTGTGTATAAATACCTTTAATATCTATTTAAATAGTGAATAAGTTATTAAAATCCTTGGAAGTAGTATAAGAAACCTGACAGACAGGTTAACATCACCAATGATAAATCGTGGTGATACATGTTGATGCCACAGAAGGAGAACACTGTGCTGCTCTGATCGTCTTCCCAAACACCAGTCATCACAGTGTAGATGTGAGAAAAATATCAGAAACCCAGTTCTGTTAAGGTCCTGGGATGAAAAGCCTTGTCAGAATTGTCACTGGAGAGTAAAGAGAGAAAAAAACAGGCCAGCTAACTACAACATCATATCTAGGACTGGATCTTGGAATAGGAGATGGACAATAGTAGAAGAACTGACAACATCCAAATGACAGTTATATTGAGTAGCAAAGTGCAAGTGTTTTTTGTTAGTTTTCACAGAAGTACCTTCTAATAGGAGCTGATAACATTAAAGGAAATTGACAGGAATTTTCTATCATCCTTACAACATTTCTTTAAAACGATTCCAAAAGAAATTTAAAGAAATTTACAGTAATGGAAGTGTGACAAGAAGTAAAACTAGCAGCATATTAAATTACATATATAAATTTACTCATGTGAAAATAAGCATTTATATATTTGTGGATGTGTATATGTTGATGCAAGGGCATATGTAAGTGGAGATATACAATCAAAAGTCTCTTCTTTGTGGTTCTCCATAGTTCTGTTCTCTATACTGAACCACTGTTCTAGGGAAAAAGCAAGGTTAGTTTCTTTTAAGACATCTTATATAACATGTGGCTGATTTGTTAGCACTGAATTCACATCCAATGAGACAGTACTTCCTGCCAAGTGAAGGTTAACTAATACCTATATTTTCTCTACAAGCCACTTTACAGCCTTCCTGCACTTAGGTGTATCAGACTGCCCTTCAATACTACAACAAATTGAAGACATTTTAATAATGAAATCAACAACGAAAAAACACAAGAATACAAAAACATGACCCTATACCCCAAAAAAGACAGTATGAAAGTAAAGCAGTGAGTCAGAGGCTGACCTGGTTTTCACTTGATACTGGGAATATGTATGTTGGTTTACTCAAATTTGTTATTGCTCTCTGCAAATCTGAAAATGAAAAATGCAAAATCACATGAGTATTCATCTTGTAGTTATGCATTAATGTTAGCATGTAGGTGAATTCACCACTGTGAAATTGATGAATGAAGAATAACTTTGCATACATGTACTACCATGCACACACATGTACATATGCATGTGTGTTTATAGAAATGAATTAAGATATTGAATTATGGCTGATATTTTATTTTTCTCTCAATATCATGTAAGAAATCTTCTTAAAATGAAGTTAGACCTGATTACAGTAGCATTCTTAGATGCAACTTGAGGGAAGAAACTCATTCCTCTCAATTTTCTACCACTAATACCCTGTGTATCACCTCACTTGTTTAAGACATTATATGTCTTTAATTTTCATTTCTATTCATATACTAATTTTATGTATTACTCTAAAAATGATTTAATCAACAGCCTGTGAGGCAGTTTTGAAATGGCATTCCTAGAATGGTAACTAACAGGCAACTGTTTTGTGAAACTTTCATGTGATCAAATCAAATAGGCTTCTAATCACCTTTCTTTGTCTCTTATACTTCTCACATATCTAGTGTAATTCAAGACAAAAGTCCAGTACAAACATTCCTGCGTGACATGTCTTCAGCATCTGTACATCAGCCTCGCCAACCTGCTATGGGTGATGTGCTCACCCATAATGCAGTGGGGGTCCATGAGGCTCGAAAACATAGAGGCAGTGACCTTGACATCATGGAGCACTCATCAGATGCCAGCCCTGCACTTCAAGCTCAATGGACACAGATTAGTTCACTTGGGAATGTCAATGCTGCAAGTATGCACAGATGTTCAATTATAGTCTTGCTATAAGAACAGTAGCATGGACTGGTGCCGGTGGCTCATCCCTATAATCCTAGCTACTAAGGATGCTTAGATCTGAGGATCGCAGTTCAAAGCCAGCCCAGTCAGGAAAGTCTGTGAGACCCTTATCTCCAATAAACCTCTAGAAAACCAGAAGTGGTGCTGTGGCTCAAACAGTAGAGCACTCACCTTTATCTGAAAAGTTCGGGTACAGCGCCCAAGCCCAGAGTTCAAGCCCCACAACTGACCAAAAACAAATAAACAAAAAAGAACAGTGTGGGAAAAGCTGTTTTGTGAAAAACATCAGAACGAGGACTTGCACATCACTGAGTAGAACACATGCTCAGAACAGAACTCATGCCTGCATCTCAATTCCGTTTAGTGGCAATACATTTGAAGGGCAGGTCAATCTGTTTTAATCTTAAATGATAGCAAGACAACTATTGTTAAAAGAGGGAATTAGCTGGATGCTAGTGGCTAGCACCTGTAATCCTAGGTACTGAGGAGGCTGAGATCTGAGGATCACAGTTCAAAGCCAGCCCGGGAAAGTCCGTGAGACTCTTATCTCCATTAAACTACCAGAAAAATGGAAGTGGCACTGTGACTCACCTGGTAGAGCACGTGCCCTGAGCTGAAGAGCTGAGGGACAGCCCCAGGCCCAGAGTTCAAGCCCCACGACCGACCAAAAAGAAAAGAGGGAACTAGAACCTAAGGTCCTATAATACTATTTCCCCTCATTTTACAGACAAGTCAGTATTGCATTTGTGGTTGAGAGCACAGACTGCAAATAGACTACCTAGATTCTAAATTGGGTTCTAATGTTAGCACTCCCACCTAAGTAGTCATGTGACCTTGACTAAGATTGTGTGAAGCAGAAGTAATACTAGTATCTACCTCGTGGGATCATTGGAAAAACTACATGAACATTGGTTCCTTAATAAATGTGAAGTGATCTGAACACTGTTCTATACATGCTTAATTCTAAGGAAATGATAACCCCCTAGTGGGTAAGGCTTTCAAAAATTTCATAACACTCTTGGAGAGAAGGCTTTGTCTTCCCTTTAAAAAGTGTTTTTGTTTTTTATGGAGCCAAAGCCCATCTCCTATGTGCAAGTTGTACATAGTTAGTATAAATAGTTTGTCAATGCTAGAGTGTAGAGGAGTTGCTCTAGCCTAGTATGTGAGAGGCCTTGGGATTGATTCCTAATATTCATACTCATGTATGTGCGTATAAGTGGAGAAACAGTTCAAGAATATCTGTGTCTGAGCACATTAGAAGTAACTAATGTCCAAGTGTGTCTTTAGACACAGTTGTCATCATTAAAGTTGTGATCCAGTACCTCCATAAATTCAGAAAGATGTAGCCAATTGATTCCCTTTGTCAACAAATGAATATTGGCCAAACTTATAAATTTAAAATGGCAATAAATACACTGAAATATCAGTTCTGACATTTGAAAAAAGTTTATTATTGAATTAATATTCTATTAAGATCAAAGCTTTTGAAAACTTTTTAATGTCTCAACTTGCTTTGTCTAAAATTTTATTAGAATAATTTGTTCCTTTTTTTGTTCCTGTTTCTCTTAGAGTTTACAGTTGAAAACCCATGGGATAATGACTTGATTCTCAAACTTTTATCTGGACTTTCTAAACCAGTGAGTTCATATCCAAATACTTTTGAGCACCAGTATAAACTTCCAACCATCAAGCCTAAAACTGAGTTCCAATTAGGTAAGAATTAAGAGAGAACATAATTTTGAATTCTTTGATAACATGAATAAAGAAGATGCTAAAAGTAATATATCCTGTAACACATGGAGAAACTAGTGAAATCTGAAGAAAGTGTGGCATTTAGTTAATAGGAACATACTATGGATCTTTATTTGTGACAAGCCTGCCATAATTATGTAGAGTTAACAGGCCAGACTGGAGTGGTTCATGCCTGTAATCCTAGCTACTCAGGAAGCTAAGATATGAAGGTTGTGGTTCAAAGCCAGCCCAAGCAAGAAAGCCAGGGAGACTCTTATCTCCAGTTAACTATCAAAAAAGTCAGAAGTGGAGCTGTGGCTCAAGTGATAGAGCACTAGTCATGAGCAAAAAAAAAAAAGCTCTGAGACAGTGCAAAGGCCTGAGTTCAAGCCCCAGGATAAGCACACACACACACACACACCTCAAAACAAAAAGTTAATTGTAGGGCAACTGGCTGTATACTATGTAGAACTTTGTCCTTTTTATTCTGTTGTAAAAACACATACATTGTCCCTAACTTTGTTTATTAGCTCTTTACAAAAGATTTTTTACATGTTCTTACCAACATCTCGAAAGTCATACAAAGAGGAAGCACGAGTACCCTTTCTAAAATGTGAAAACCTTGGTGAGAGGGAGACACATGCCCAAGGCCATGCAGCTCAGTGTCCTGAGCCAACATCGCACCTCTGTGCCAGAGATTTGTTAAGAAGCCTCTTTGGTACCAGGTCTTTCTTTCACTTTTTTCTAGACCTTCCCCTATTTATTTTGATTCATCAGAGCAGTTGAAAACCAAGAAAAATTGTACAAATTCTTTATTGTGTAGTCACTAATGATTCGGGCCTTTTCTCATTTTAACACTTTTTTTTCAAGGTCCTTCGCTGGTGTATGTCAATTGCCTTCTTGGAGAAGGAGCTTTTGCCCAGGTCTATGAAGCTACCCTTGGAGATGTGAATGAGGTGAAAAATAAGCAGAAATGTATTTTAAAGGTAAATGATCTCAGGGGGTTCTTGTTTAAGCAATATAGAAGTAAATTTTATAACAGGAGTTCTTTGCCTCCTTTTTTCCTTAAACCTATGTTTGCATTGAGATCTGTAGTGAATGATTACATAAGAACTATCCTGTGAAGACTCAGAACTGCCTTGCCACTAAAATTATCCTGCAGTAGTAAGCCCCATGTTGTAAAGCAGTTCATAGATTATCATCTCTCTTTATAACATGTCCTTTATTGGAATGGAGCTTGCTTTCTGGGTATCCTACCCAGAATGTGAAATGGAATATGAATGTCATGGATCTGTTTTGTATTACAGATCCAGAAGCCTGCCAACCCCTGGGAATTCTACATTGGGACCCAGCTAATGGAGAGACTCAAGCCAACCATGGAATACATGTTTATCAAGTTCTATTCTGCCCACTTATTCCAAAATGGCAGCATATTAGTAGGAGAGCTCTACAGCTATGGAACATTATTAGTAAGTGTTTTGTTTCCACGATATGGTCATGAATTTGAAGTGCATTTCTGCTTTATGCCTTGCACCTGTCTTTTTTGGTTGGAACTTTTGCTGGACAGGAAGGTGAAGCAAAGCCTTTTTGACTACAAATTTCATGTATCCTCCACAACCAACTCAGGGTGTCACTTTCATTGTTTCTAGAACGCCATTAACCTCTATAAAAATACCCCTGAAAAAGTGATGCCGCAGGCTATCGTCATCTCTTTCGCTATCAAAATGCTCCACATGATTGAACAAGTTCACAGCTGTGAGATCATTCATGGAGACATTAAACCAGACAATTTCATCCTGGGAAACAGGCAAGTGCTTTGTAACAGGCCTCCTTCACCCTTCTCTAGCAGCCACTTGCTGTTTGTGCTCAGGCATCTTGACCCTTGTTTTTGTTTAATCTATCTAGATTTTTGAAACAGGATGATGATGGTGATTTAGCTGCTGGCTTGGCACTGATTGACCTGGGTCAGAGTATCGATATGAGACTTTTTCCAAAAGGAACTACATTTACAGCCAAGTGTGAAACTTCTGGTTTTCAGTGTACAGAAATGCTCAGTAACAAACCATGGAACTACCAGGTATGGGAGTAAAACAAGAGCTTTGAAAACTTTTTCCTCTCTCTCTTATCAGATTTTCAAAATGAATTTGGGATTCTACTTAGTTTGAACTAGTGGGTGAAGCAAAAGTCAAACTTATGGCTGAGGGGGAAGATAGAATTACTCCTGAACAATATACCTTTCTCAAGTCTGTCATCAGCAAAGGGAAGCAAATGCATTGTCAAAGTTTGACCCTAGGAAAAAGCACTGATTTGTGACCTTTCAAAAGGAAGTCATGCTACCAGGATCCAGCTTCAGTTGTAGATGAAAGCAGCTTGGTTTCCTTTTTGGGCCAGAATTAGCTGGACACCCCAGCCTATTGACTGTGGGCAGAATTGAGCCAGTGTTTCACACATCTGGCCATTTTCATAGGTAAGTAAATGAACCTGACTGCTATAAGATACTGCTGCCAGATGTCCTCCCGATTACCTTATCCAAAAGATTGCATCAATATTACCCTAAAGAAATACGTCACAATTTCCATCAAAGTTAGTTATCAAGTAAAGAGAATAATAACTAGGACAAATGTAAAGTTTGAAACTAGGTTAACAAAATCTCTACCCAGTTTCCAGGTGGGTATAAACTCGCTTTTCAAGAGCCATAGTTAAAAGGGGCCAATAAGACCTCCACCTGCACAAATGCTAATCTCCAATTTCCTCAGGCATGGAGGGGGACAGACAGTCTGTTGTCTTACAGACTTTGGCCACAATGGAGGGTTCTTTTCAGTTATAAACATCATATAACCACCAGAATCTCAGTGGAGGGAGTTGGAGCTCCCAAGCAAAGCAATTCTACTGTTGTATTTGCTGCATGCAACAGAATAAAAGACTTGGGAAGAACATTAACTAGGTCAAGAAGCACAGAGCTTTCTAAGGGGCCACCTCAGGAGACGAGGGTGTTGCTCTCCCATGGAAGCTTCAGGCAGGGCCTAGACAAGCAGTGAGGCATCTCAGTAGCTTTCAGAGAAATCTTTAAAGCCCTACGGTTATATAACAGTGTCCAAGTTAAAAGTTACATATTTATAGGCTCGTGTGCAAATTACTACTGAGTGACATGCACCTGTGTTTTCTCTACAGATTGATTACTTTGGCGTTGCCGCAACAGTATACTGCATGCTCTTTGGCACTTACATGAGAGTGAAAAATGTAGGAGGTGTCTGGAAGCCTGAAGGTCTTTTTAGAAGGTGGGGCTTGGCAATAGTGTGACAGTGAAAAGAATAGATATAGCAGAATGGTGGTGGGTTTTGTCTGGCAGAAAAAGGAGTTCTGTTGCTGCATGGAAAACCTGTCTTAGGCATTGTGGTGAAAGGTCAGTACTGACACAGGCAATGCTCAGATCGCATGGCGCCACCACTGCTGTTTCCCCACATGTAAAAGTAGCGCAGCCAAGGGCTGCTCAGTAGAGTAGCTCAGTTTCAAAAGGGCCTGGGTTCCATCCCCAGCACCAGATGAAAAGGGCCAGGAGCAACCAGTGCTGCATGGCATCACTGAAAATTGCCAGCTGCATGGTTGGATACTGTGAACTCCAGTGTTTCTCTCTACCCATGGGAGGGAAGACTCACCTAATGTCACTGAGCCTCAGGATTTTCCCATGTGTTTTTTTGTCTCTGTAATGGGAATAATGCAGATTCTTCTCAGATGTTTCTCATAAGAAGCAAAGGAAATTATGAAGGTGCTTTGAAAGTTATATAGTAGGAGGACACAGCTTTCTATTATAGGACAAATTTTAAGTCCCCTCCTTTCCTGAGTTTAGTTCACTAACAGTTTGTTCTGATCTACACAATTGCAAGAATGGTCTGGAGCTCATCCTGTCAATGTGGATGGCTCTTCCAGAGTTGCACCTTGTGAATGTACTACCGGTGCTCTGTAAGGTTAGGTACATTTATGTTCCTTATATGACTTATACTTCCTTTTCTTAATGCTTTTTTTGTTTGTTTTGTTTTGTTTTTGTTGGTCTTGGGGCTTGAACTCTGGGCCTGGGTGCTGTCCCTCAGCTCTTCAGTTCAAGGCTAACACACTACCACTTGAGACACAGTGCCACTTCCGGCTTTTTCTATTTATGTGGTGCTGAGGAATCGAACCCCAGGACCTCTCTCATGCGTGTGAGGCAAACGTTCTGCCACTGAGCTGCCTTGCGAGCCCCACCTTCTCTTAACATTTTTGAGAAATAAAAATCATACAGAAAAGTACTCTCGGGAGAGGCTGGGAAGGGATGTGAAGGGTAAACCAAAGGAGGAGGCTGCAATGCTTGGTAAGAAATGTACGCATTATCCTGCCCATGTAATTGTAACCCCTCTGTACAGTATGTTCACAAATAAAATTAAATTTAAAGAAAAAAAGAAAAGTACTCTCATACACACAGCTTACTGGAAGTTTACATGTTGATATTCTTTAAAAACCAAAACTTAACACTTGGATTCTCCTCACTCTGCCCACCGTCTTCCAAAACTGAAAAACAAAAAAGTAGTTGGTAATAATTTTATGAAATGTCATGTGGTATTCACAGATGAGGTTCAATCTCTTCAGGAAGACTAAAACAGCTATGTTTTATTCTGCATAATGAATCATCAGATTGAGCATTCTTCCTGCATTCTTTATCGTGCTCATAATGGGAGGATCAGATGGTTGTTCAGAAGGCTTCCAGCTCTGGCAAGTGAAGGGAAAGACTGAAGCTCCCCTCTACAGGTCCGGTGACCAAGCTCTGGAGTCCAACTTCAGCGTGGTGTTTTCTTCATAGGGGCTTCTCACCAAGACATGAAGTTTGCAGTGTCTGGAACTCTAAAGACTGAGCACACTCAGGGCAGTGCAGCCTGTCTGCTGTCTGCTTGGTCCTGGCTTGAGCACAAATAAGCTCTTGCAATATGGCTGCATTATGAGATTCTGACTATTCCATACTACTCACAACCAGCCAAAAGCAAATAGCTTTCCAACCATGTTTCTCAAACCGAATGTGTTCAGATATTTGGTTGGATCTTTTGTTTCTCTTGTTTATGATGGGTTCAGTGCTTACATATTTTTTTTTCTTTTTTGAGGGGGGGTTACTGGAAAAACTCAGGGCATTGTGCTTGCTAGGCAGGCACTCTACCTCTTGTCACACCTCCAGCCCCCTTTTTGCATTGGTTATTTCTGAGATAGGTCTCACTTCATATGCTTGGATCCTTCTCCTTAGGCTTCCCCATGTCATCACTGGAAATGACAGACTCAGGCCATTGCACCTAGCAAAGGCTAGGCTTCCCTCATAGTTTGGGGTAACAGGTATGCATTACTGTGCCCAGCCATTGGTTAACATGGAGTCTGATAAACTTCTTTTATGTCTGGGCTGTTCCCAAGTCATGATTCCTCAATCTCTGCTCCCAAGTTGCTAGGATTATGGGCTTGAGCCACTATACCTGACAGTTCTTCCATTCTCAATCAGTAAATGGTATTTAGGTAGGAATTGTCCTCTTATACCATCCAGGCTCTCAGGAGTCAATGTGTGAGCATATTGTATGTTTTGAAGGCTGTGTTTTATCCACTGTTGATGCTTTGTCTCTTCAGGCTTCCTCATCTGGAGATGTGGGAGGAGTTTTTCCACACCATGTTGAATATACCAGACTGCGACCATCTCCCATCTTTGGATTTGTTAAGGCAGAAGCTGAAGAACCTGTTTCAACAGCACTATTCAAGCAAGATCCGAACCCTGCGTAACAGGCTAATTGTGCTGCTCATGGACTATAAGCGTTTGAGAAAGTGAAATGCAGATGGGGACACTCTCCAGAAGACACTGTGTAAAGACTGACCTCTTACTTCAAACCTTGATTCTTTTTCACATTGATTATTTATGTGTTTGTTACAAATAAAGTCCATAAAACAGACCCATGTGATTTAGTTGTAACAAATACTCCAACCAAATACACACAGTGGGAGGTTGGAGGCAGCTGACTAATGGATCTGTTCCAGTAGGCAAGCATTTGTGACAATGCATGTGAACTTTCCCAAGAAGACACATTGGAAACCCTGACCTTTTTAAGCCAAAACTGGGCCAACATGACTTTGGTCCCTTCTGTGTAGAAGGAAACCTTCCAAAATACATTCAGAGTCTTAAAGTTTTTGTGGAAAAGAAAACAAACAATAAACAAAAAAGCTGTCTGTCTTTTACAGTACCATTCAGTGGAAAATCTCTATTCTTGGAAATATTTTTTTTGGGGGGGGCAATATTAGAGTTTTGAACTCAGGATCTTGATCTTGCTAAATAGGTACACTACTGCTTCTATTTACTTTAGAGCTAGAAGGGCCCTCAGGTTGCACAGATCTTCCTGAAAACATCTGCGGCCCACAGTCCAGGAGTGTGAGGTGAATCACTTCCTTTTGCAGTATCCTCAGCCACCATGGCATTGGCTATGGGGCCATAACTCAGGCCCTAAGTGCTGTCCCTTATTCCTTTCACTAGGCTAATGCTCTACCACTTTGAGCCACAGCGTCACTTCCAGTTTTCTCGTGGTTAATAGGAATAAGAATCTCAGACTTTTCTGCCCAGGATGGTTTTGAACCACAATTCTCAGATCTCTACTTCCTGAGTAGCTAGGATTACAGGCATGAACCACCACCATCCAGCTCCTTATAGTCTTAATTTGCATTTCTTCTATGAATTAAGCCAAACATATGTTTTTCAGCTATGTGTGTGTTATTTGCTGAGAACTCTTTATTGTTCTATTTCCTTTTAATTTGTAGGAGTCCTTAGTATAGGAGACAGATATTTCCATTTATTGTATGTCTCTTGAATAGTTTGTTGACACAAAAATCTAAAATTCTGCTTCATAGTCTTAATTTATAAAGCTTTAAGTGGCTTTCGATGTGTGTCTTAAATACGTTCTATGTAAGTGTAGAGACAAAGTTCCACTAGTTGTTTGATTTTTTTAAGTGCACTAATTTCAGTATTTATGATTAAATTACTTATAGGGTTTTTGTGCCAGGCCTGGAGCTTGAACTCTGATCCTGGGCACTGTCCCTGAACTTTGTTCAAGGCAAACTTGCTCTGCTACTTGAGCCACAGTTCTACTTCTAGCATCTCAGTAGGTAATTGGATGAGTCTCATAAACTTTCCTGCCCAGGCTAGCTTCAAACCATGATCCTCAGATCTCAGCCTCTTGAGTAGCTAGGGTTACAGACATGAGGCCAACTGGTGGTTATTTTATATTAGATATCCCATCCTTCCTTTTTGTAGCTGATAGTTTGAATACATGAAGCCTTTTGATTTCTGTGCAAAGCTTTTCATTTGATTCTTGAGGTTTCTGAATTAACTATCATAATGAAAGTAATGTTTGTACTTGTTATTTTCGCTCTAATTTTTTTGGTAGTTTTTTTTTTCTCTTCCAATAACCTGCACCTTAAGAGAGCTGTGTAGTATGGTACTGGCATGTTAGGTGCTGCTTTCATGGGAGCTCTTGTGGCCTTTATTCATTAAGCTTCATGATACTGGTTTCAGATACATTTTTAATTATGTTAAGTATTGATATTGTTGTTTCTATTCCAAACAAATGAGAACTATAACACTTCTACACTTCCTTACCCATATATCTACTCAGTGGGTCCAGCTATATACCATTTCACTACATGAACAAGTACCATAATTTATTATCCAGTCCTTTATTAGACACAGTTCATTGATTTCATAGCTTTCTTGCCACAAACACGAGTACAAGTGCCCTGTGGATAAACTACTTACTAGAATAGGATCACAAAATATGCTTTTATTTTGGAAATAAAAAGTAACTTAAATGGTCAATTACACACTCAACTAGTCAGTTGAACTAGATGGAAAGTAGATGGTGGCTGCCAGAAGCTGGACAGGGAATGAGTTTCTGCTTTGTGGGATGGAAGCATGCTGGAGCTGAGCTGTGGTGAAGGCTGCATGACAGTGTGAGTGTATGTTATCATTTAGATGAGTGTATCCCCAAGGCCTGAGTGTTGAGCTCAAGCTGGTCTGAAACTAACTGAATCAGAACTGTGCATATCATGTATGTTAATATGGTTGCATTTTTTTTATTGGTCATGGGGCTTGAATTCTAGGCCTGGGCACTGTCCCTCAGCTCTTCAGCTCAAGGCCAGCACTCTACCACTTGAGCCGTAGCATCACTTCTGGCTTTTTTCTGTTTATGTGGTACTGAGGAATCGAACCCAAGGCCTCATGCATGTGAGGCAAGCACTCTACCACTGAGCCACCTTCCTAGTCCTTATAGTTGCATTTTTAACTGGATGCCATGATATATTGCTTATAGACTTTTCAGGCTTTTACATTCAGTTGTAATTGGTTTGTTAGTACACACACACACACACACTCCATCCCAATCATGTTTCATGATTAATAATCTATCCACTCATGGATATATACGTAATTTCACATGATCAAATAAGGTAATTATGAAGTAAACATGTTTATATAAGTTTTCTGGGTTTGGTTCTTGGTTTTTGTCTTTTTCATATGTGAATCCTTTGGGAAGAACTTCAGAGTTCAATTTAGTGGAGGTTCCGGGAAGATGGCAAAGGAGAAGCTGGAATCTGAACAAGCTCTCGCATAGAAAGCAGTTTTAGAGTTCCAGTGAACAGTCCTAAGCCAGAGAATCACACCAAGTGTGCCATCACAGGACAGACAGTTAGACAAGAGAGGGGAAGCCAAGGCAAGGAGACACTTCTGAGCGCTTGCCAGCAGCCGCGGTGGCGGCGGCAGGGTCACGGTGGCGACCGCAGCTGGGGCCATAACTGAGCGCTCACACAGAGAGTCCGGGACGAAGGAGCCAGATGCATCAGGTGAGCGGATTCTACTCAACACCAGCAAGAACCAGCAAGGAGCGGACATCTTCATCCTGTAGTTTGCAGACCAGAGACGACCCAGGATCCAAGACTCAGCGTGAGTAGAAGCCTGACATCCTCACTCCTTCTCAGGAAGCAGAGGAGGGAAGGCCACCCCTCCCCTCCAGCACCGGTGATCTCCATCTTGGATACTGAAAAAGCTCGGAGGAGCTGCCAGCTCCAACTCAGGCCTTGGAATAAAACGAGTCATTTAGCAGGTCACAAGAACTTAACGGCGAAGTGACTTGCCAGACTCAGCTCTATCCAGGGAAAAGTCACCCAGCTCAGGCGCCAGCCATTGGAGTGGCTTTTCTCACTGGGTAACCAGAGCCAGAGGCTGCCCCTACCTCTAGC